CAAACCCTAATTTCAGCCATCAGTGCTTAGGGAGGTGTCTTGAGCTGATCAATCCTTGTACAGTCTTGAACTAAAGGAGATCTTGTGAGAAAATATTCGATAAAATGAGAGGGAAAATATTGGGGCACAACAATAACAATAAATAATAATACCAATTAACATTAGCAGACAATACCAAAATAAAAAAAACTCAAATCAGATATGTATAGACAATTCTAAATAACTCACCAGTTCAAGCTTAATTTTATATAACTCAAAGAAACATTTTTCCCAACGGAGTCGCAAATCATACAAATCATCTTGTGTTAATTCTGTTAGGTCATCAAATATCTACAACGCATAAATAACAATATAGACTTATTCTTTAAAAATTCATATTAAGTTGCAAAACACAAAGTAACTATAAAAGTAAAGTTTTTTTATTACCTGCATTCAAGAATCAGTTATATTGGCAGAAACAATATCCAACATATTTTTCATCACATAGTATCCACAATCATTAGATTTATATTGTCTTCTTGTCTAGACAAACAAATGACATAATTAGTGAATACTTTACATAAAATTAAATATAGATTTGTAATATACGTCACACTTACATTAGGATGAAGTCATGTAGCTTTTTTTCTATTTCCATTTGTCATTTGATAAACCCCAAAAGCACTAATTCAGAAGAAAAAAATCCATATAAATCCATATAAAATAGGAAATTACTTTTGTAACAATTTATGTATACGTGATATATAATATATTATAACAAAAGTCACAAAGGACAAACTTACCTTGTAGAAATTTTCTTCGTGATGGTGCAAAACAACATGGCACGCATATTGAACTGTTCGCCAGAGTACGCATCAAAAACATCCACCCCTTCCTCCCACAACACTCTTAAATCATCAATCAGTGGACTTAGATACATGTCTATGTCATTTCCTGGTTGTTTTGGGCCCGAAATCATCATCGATAGCATAATATATTTACGCTTCACGCACAACCTAGGAGATAGGTTGTAAATCATCAAGAGAACATACCAAGAAGTGTGATTTGTACTTAGATTACCAAATGAATTCATTCCATCAGTAGCAAGTCCAAGTCTAAGGTTTCTCGACTCTTTGCCAAAGCTTGGAAACAAAGTATCTATTTTCTTCCATTGCAAATAATCAACTACATGGAGATTTGTCCATCACAATTTCTTTCTTCAGCATGCCATCTAAGATTTTTTGCGTCGTTTACATTAGCGAATAGTCTCTTGAACCTTTAAATTACTGGTAGGTATCATACCACTTTTGCGGGAGGACCCTTTTTGACCACCTCATCTTCACTAGAATCACCATCTTTCTTTTTGTAGCGTGACACCTTGCACTTCGGACAATGAATATAGTTTACATACTCTTTTCGGTATAATATGCAGTCATTAGGGCATGCATGTATCTTTTCATACTCCAAACCCATCGGAAATAATATTTTCTTCGCCTTGTAATAACGAATTGGCATTACGTTACCTTCTGGAAGCAGTTCTGTCAATAATTCAAGCAATTCGGTAAAACTTTTGTCAGTCCACCCGTTATTTGCCTTCACATTAAACAATTTTAACACGACTAACAAACGTGTAAAATTTGTACATCCCAGGTATAAAGATTTATCCTTGTCACTACATAAAGTATCATACGCAAGTGCCCTCTTAAACGAATCTTGTCCAATATCACGCATCATGTCTTCCAAACGATCATCCATATCGACACTGACATCATCTCTTTGAGACACTTTTGAATTTTCTACTACTTCACCGTGCCATATCTATTGTGTATAACTTTGACAGATTCCTACACAGATTAGATGATCCATGATTTCTTTCTTACTAAGTTTTGGTTCTTTATTTGCACAACGAACATATGGACAGAGAAAAAGCGCATGAAGACTTTTTTCAGCATTACTTTCAGCAAACAGTAGAAGTTTCTTCACTCCATGTTCATACTCAGTACTTAATCAATTAGCTCTCATCTAACTACGATCCATACCTATGTTCTGAAATTAATGAATACATAGTTAAATCATTAGAATTTTTTATTTCTCATATATTTTTTTAATAATTAATGTTGTTTAACATTCTTTACTTGATAACTCCACAATGACTTAATATAGGAATCTCCGTCACAAATAATATAGAAATAGAATACGTCATACTTAATTGTCCTTGAATGTTTCCGGCGGGAGAGTAGCACTACTACAAGAATCCATAAGGGATTCTTTTAAAAATAAAAATTTGTAACATAATGTGATGTCACGGGATTGAAACTTCGTTGGTGGTTAGCATGCAAGATTAACAACAATATTTTAATTTGTTCTAATTTATATCTATTCCTTTAGATAAAATGTAATATAAATCTGGATAATAGTAACAATAATGTTAAATCTAACATGTCGGAAATGGATGGACGACGTCGGAGGCAGAGGGAGACAGAGAGACACAGAATAACGGTGGCGGAGGCAGTGCTGACCGAAGCCAGACGGTGTGGCAGAGGCGGAGGCGCGACTGTGCAAAGACAGAAGGAGGTGGAGGAGCGGCTGTGCAAAATCGGATGTGCAGACGGACGGAGGCACGACTGCTTTTGGACCGAGCGGAGGTGCGACTGCTTTCGACGGTGAGGAGGAGTGGTTGTGCGAAACCGGTTCGCGTCCAGATGCGGAGTACAGAGAAACAAGCTTTAGGACGGCGACAGTGTGGGGAGAATGGTTTAGGACGTCCGACAAGAAGGACGGATGGAGAAGGTCGAAGACGAAGGGTTGTTGGGTGTGAGGTAGCAGAGAGAAAAAATGAAGCGCGGGCGAAATAAATATATGAATAGTTACAATAGAGTTTTGTGAAGTTGAGATGGTTTTTTACATCGGTTGAGATTATGACCCGATGTAAGGGTCACTCTTTTACATCAATTGGATTTAAGGCCCGATGTAAGGGTCTTTTTTTTTACAAAAATGCTATTTTACATCGGTTTAGTTATGGCTCGATGTAAGGACCACTGTTTTTTTTTACAAAAATGCTCTTTTACATCGGTTTAGTTATGGCCCGATGTAAGGGTCACATTTTTTTTATTACAAAAACGCACCTTATTTACAAAACTACCATCGTGTTTGTATTATTTTATTATTGAAGTTTTTACATCGGTGGATATTAAAGGACTGATGTAAAATCCCTTACAAAAAATTTCATTTTAATTACGAAAATGCCACCTTGTTATATTTTCCTCTAAATCACATATTTTTAATATCAGGGAAATAAAAATCTGATGTAAAATCTTTTACCAAATATTTTTTATATCATTTATTTTTATACCTGATGTAAGGACTTTTTCTCAAATGTCATATTTTTAGTAGTGTTTTAGATATTTTGTAATTAAATTATATATAATAAGAGATATTATTACTCTAAGATTAAGTTTTTATAATAAGAATGGATATTCTTATTTCAAAAGTAAATTATTAAAATTAAATTCACATTTTGACATAATTTTTTTTAAAATTTAATAACTAAAAATAATAAGTAATTAAATATGAAGAGAGAAAACTATTAGTATTTATTATTTTTAACTATTACTTAATGATTAAGATGTGAAACAAGGTTTAATAATTTACTCTTTGAATAACAATATTCCTCCTCTATATAATTTCATCATCATTTATTTAGAAAATTTTAAATTTTTAATGTTCCTGATAAAACAACTTAAAATCAAATCAATAATTAAAAGTAGTATTTAATTATCAATTAATAAATGTGTGTGAAATACAAATAAATAAAATTTTAATTTTTGATTAATTTATATTTAATAAATTATAATAATATCACAATGAAAAATAATAAATTGAATTATTTAAATAAATTAAAACAGACAAACATAAAATTAAATCATTAGTCGAATGTAACATTAAATTTTTATTAATAAACGAGTATGAAATATCCACAAATAATTATTAGCAATTGTGTGCTACTAATTATTAAATGCATCAAAAAGTGTAAGTTGTCTTTTACATTATTATACAATTACTAACCCCTTAATGATTCATTATCACCATTTCAAAAACAGTAATAATATGACAATAAAATGAAATAATTTCTAAATCAATAAATAAGTTATTCAGAATATTTGAAATAGATAAAACAAACATAAAATCAAATTATTAACTGAAAATAACATTCAATTCTTATTAGTAGATGATAGTTAAATAAAAATATATCTTTTTACAAATAATTGTTATTAAAAAATATTTTATTTATGATTACTTTTTAAATATTTAACTATTACAACAATATACAATGTCTTCATCTTTTTTAAAAAATAAAATAATATGTTGTCTACAATTTTTAGAATTTGCGTATTTATTTTTGTCTACTATTCTATATATTTTTTCAAAACAATTCTTTATGGATTTTCCTTTTCGCAATGATGTAAATTTTAATAGAAAATAAATCAACTTGAATGAATATATATATATATATATATATATATATATATATATATATATATATATATATATATATATATATATATATATATATATATATATATATATATATATATATATATATATATATATATATATATATATATATATATATATATATATAACAAAATTATAAACTTTCTCTGGTGACAAAACAATGCGTTTTATAGCTTTCTTGAATTTCTCTTAGCCTCAAGAAAAAAATCAAGACTAATCTACATTCTCATTGCTCATGAATAAGGAGCAGAAAAACAAAATACTAGTAACACAAACACAGATACCTCTTAATATACTATAATAATACCACTTGATGATTTTTCTTATCTTATTCTAAAAAATGGAAGAAAAAGAAGAATAATTCCTTTGTTGCTTCAATGCATTGAAGAACTTCATCACCTTTTCCTATTTTATTTATTCAAAAGTCTTCTCTTCAGATTCACTTTCACTAGCTAATGAAAGGAAAACCCAGTTTAGCATTACTTTTTTTTGTGTCTGTTGTGTTGTTACCTCTTTAAATATGAAAATGGTATAGGCAAATGCTTCATGCTTGAAATATCAAACAACTCTACAAACCTCTGATCTGAAACTCGAGCTTTCGCAGCTGCAAAACGTTGATACTCGTCAAAAACAGACGACAAGCACCATTTTTGGAGCTTTCTATAGCATCCGACCAAACAACCTGTTCGGTGCTGTAGACAAATAGAATTCAAAATATTAGCTACTTTAACGAGAAAACACTTTTTAGTAGGGTTTTGTTCTTATTAACAGAACCCTATTAGTTCAAATCACAAACACATTCACGAGAAAAAGATAGTTTTTCTTTTTCTCGGACGAGTAGCAATCGTTGGTTTATAGTAAAGAATTCGGTAGAGTCGTACCTTTCCTCGCTTACAGTGAATTATAACTGGGTGGTTCCTCACATCTGCATTATTTAGATTACCGATGATTATTGCTTGAAAAATGAAGAGATGAAATTGCAATTAAGTTTGAACTGAATAAAGAGATATAAGCATACCAAGAAGAACTTTTAGGGCTTCCCGAATAGTATCGTCCGGGATGTTAACAAAAGGCTCCTGGATCAACAAGTTCATAAGAAGTTACGATTTGATACATCACATATAAAACATGCTAGTAAACACACCAAAAAAATAATGAATTCGAGTTAGAAACTCAACAGTACATGATTCGCTCTTCAAATCTAGTAAATTGGACTCAAAGAAGACACCGATTTGCTAGGCTGCAGACAATCAAAATCCGACTTTTAAGCTATGTTTTTCTCGATATTTTCCTTCTTTACTTTCCTAGGGCTGATCATGACTAGATGCTATTTCTTTATCATGATTGAAATTTTATGGTTCTTGAACGAAATCGGTTTTTGAAAAATTCGTAATGGTCCCATTATACAGACAAGAAGCATACTCTATGATCTCTTCTTAGCCATTAAATACTCACAAAAAACAAATGATTGTGATAATTTGATTTTGAAATAACCATGGAAAAGACATCACAAGCCAGCTTAGATTCCATCCACAGTGATTTCCATTTTCCATATTATAAAGTTGGCATACTTTGGATGTGAACATACAGCTGAAGATTGATGAGGATTCCTTCACACTCAAATGTCAAATATGCTCAAGAAAAAAAAAACAGTGGATTCAACAAGAATCAATTATAGACCAAAAAATGACATGACAATATAATATTGATATCTAAAAAACAATGATCTTAAAATTTAGCAAGCAAACATTTCTATACAATGCTCTTTTTTCTGTATAAAGTTGACACCGTGATTTTGTTGAAACTTCAAAGTGTAATTTTGATCAAAATTAGGGCGATTCATCGTAATTCTATCAATCTCAGTGTGAATCCAAACATACACAAAATCAATCTAGAACATAAGCCTAAAACACCCAGCTATACATAGCAACTCATTGGATTAAACACTAGCATTCATATAAAGGTCCTACTAGGTTTTAAATAAAAGTCACGGTCGGGTCGCGTTGCAGTTGCGTAGAGACTTTCATAATTTCGGTCAATTTCAGTCATTACATGTGCCGTGTTGCAATACTGATTGGAGCCGTTGTGGTATGAATTAACCACAATATTTAATTTATCATAAAACAGAAGTGAATAACTGTATCGGTAGTGACATCTTCCGATCGTTTTCGCAGACTGTTTTTTAAAACCTTGATTGACTTCACCTTATGTCACAAATTATCCACCCATACACCAACTTGAAGAAAATAATTGAATTAGATATATCCAATGATCTCTATTCAATTATCAATTCAATTCATATAATTGATTTTTGTGATAAATAAACTAATTAAAAAAAAAAAACATAATTGAAGATATATCAATAGATTGACAAACCTTATGACCCTCAATTCCAAAGTGATAAAGCTTGATTCCATTTGACTTGAGAAACTCCATGTTAGCTTCTGGATATGGTTCAGGGCACAAATATCTATACAAAAATGACCCATCAAAGAAAAACTCAATAAAATCACAAAAAGTTAAATAATTTACTAATAAATCATGAATTGGGTTATCAAAAAACAGTACAAAAACTAGAACAAAAGCAAAGCACATGCAAAACAAAACAAGTATAGATATATCTATATATATATATATGTACATGATGGAGCGAAGACCAAGGGTTTGAAGGAAAGAGAAGTTGGAAGGTTCAGGGAAACCAGAACGGAAAATGCCATTATCAACCATGGAAAAATTGAGAGGTGGAATGAAGAGATCCTCGCCGTCTATCTTGTCACAAACATCACCGTCATCGTTATCAACGGTGGTTGTGAGTTTGAGGTTGTTGTGATCAGTGATGCTGAGTTTGATTTTTCTACACATCTGTGTTTCTTGGTTCTTTTTTTTCAGTTGGTGGTGTTGAACTTCTGATGCCACTTGTTGTTGCATATTAAGATGAGTGTGTGAGAGAGAGAGAGAGAGAGAGAGAGAAGAGGTGTTTGGAGTGTGTTATGTTATGTAAGAATGAATAGATATTTAATAATATAATAATAAAGATGGAGAGAGTAGAGAAAGGGAAAGGGGGAAGGTTTTGGGATCAAAGGGTATATTCCTTGTTGGGAGAGAGAGAGTTTGAATGGTGTTTTGGTTTTTGAGAGTGAAATTTGAAAGAAGAAGGAAAAAAAAAGGGATTGCTTTGAAGAGAGGAAAGAGTGGGAGTTAATCAATGGAGTTGAGGTGAAGATGTTACCTATATATATATACAAATTTGAGAGAGTGGTCACAACATAAAGAAGAAATTGTGAATTACTAGTGTTTTTGTGTGTGTGTGTGAGAGACTAGCTAAAATGTATGGGTTTTCTTTTGCTTCTTCTTGTCCATCTTTTGACAAATGAAATGGAGAAGGGTTGATTAAAAAAATGGTAAATTGTTTACTTAGTGGGATTTAATTTGATTTATTTTCTTAAGGGTGTTTGGATTGGTTTATCCAACTTTAATTATAATTGTATACTCCCTTTCTTCTAAAATATAAATAAAAAATGTATCTTTTTATTCTAAATTATTTTTAAAATTAAGTTTTACTTTTTAAGTATAGAATTTACTATCTTTCTTATTTTTTTCTATAATTAATAATTAATTAAAATTATTTTTAAATTTTTACAAAATTTATTTTAAAAAATCTCAATTTAAATTATTATACTTTGTTTTTCAATAAGAATAATTTTTATTTTTCTTTAAACGGATGGAGTATTGTATTTTTATATATACTATAAAAAATGGGCAATGATTTATAAAGTATGACTCGGCTGTGATGTGGATATATTGACACTCGTACACAAGATTTTTACACCACACTATGTAAATAGTGTTTTTATTTTATTTTGATTTTTTAATATATTTTTTTAAAAAAATTTTAATTAATGAAATGTTAAAATTTGGTTAATTCAGTTCAAAGTTTGATTAATGTATATTTTAACTAAACATATTAATATATATAGTACAAATATTGAATAATCTTATTTATAAAATTGGTTAATACTACTATTCATAACTTGATTAATGACTTGATTAATGAGTTCTCAAACATAAAAAATATTAAATAATAAAATAAATATGATTAATACAGTGTAAATATTGGTTAGTACATTTATAATTTAGTGTCAGAACATGGTTAATAGTATGTATTTTATTAGTTAATGAAGTAGTGAAAGTGGTTAATAAATTATAAGTAAAATAATTGGTTAATGACTTACATTTTTTTTTATAATAATTGTGAACTTCATTAATGACACAATCTTATATTTGTGTTAAAATAAATTTTAAAAATAAATGTTTAAAAAAAATTAAAATAATATTATTTTATTAAAATTACTGTTCACGGTATAAATACGGTAAATAATCAATACAGTATAGGTATTGATGTAGGAATAACAAAGTTGTATTAACTAACTCAATCATAGCAAGTTTGTGTATATTACAAAAACAAAGTTTTATATATTGATAATTCAGGACATTCATCATTTATATTATGTATTATATACAATAATATTGGTCGCGAGAGGGTATATTAGAAGAAGAAAACAAAAGTTATGCATTTAATTAAAGATAGATACTAATTGATCTGACCTGATCAGAAGGTTTGGACCGTCACGGCTGGCTCCGAGCAGAAAGCTTTTTGAACGAGGAGGGGGGGGTACCTGCAAGGCACTCCGATGCTAAAGTCAGTGGGAGTACGAGCAGATAATAGAGTTGAGGTTAGAATGATGAATACCTGACCCTCTGGAAACAGAGGGTATTTATAGCCCCCAGCGCTGGGCCAAGGTCCCTTCATTGGGCCGGGCGAATTTGGCCCAATGGAGGAACTGCCAGGTTCTACGTGGGTAGTGGGGACCCGCACGTGGTCCCCTTCCTGGATGTGTTGCGTGAAGTGCGGGCGGACGAAGACGCGGTCTTTCTGGAGTATCGTTGGGGGAACGGTGGACTGAGTCTGCCCTAGTTGGGATGCTCGAGACAACGTCGAGCTGGACGACAGGAGGTGGAGCTGGACATCATCACGTGGGTTAGACAGCGGGATGTCGAGCTGGACATCAGGATGTCGGGTACGGATGTGACTCCTTTGCCCGGTCGTGGACCTCCGTAAGTCCTTTTGGATTGGGCCTTAGTAATGCTTTTGGGCCTGTCGGGCCCAGTCCAGAACAGGAGCCCCCCAAGTCGTGGTTCCTTGGCGAGGAGCCATGACTTGAACCAAAGTTATTCCCTCGTTGAGGTCTCGTGCCCGGGATAGACGTGGGGGCCCTCGAGGGGCCTCCTCTTGTCGTGCTCGAAGACGTCCTCGGAGATGGATGCTCGGAGAATCCTTGTCGGGCGCGTCGATCGGGCACACGAGGTATCTTTCGGGGATTGTGCCGCCACCCTATGGGGGTAGGGCCATCATTGCGTTGGGAGCAGCGCGTCGAGGAGATGGAGTCCGTGGTTGCCCGAGGTGACGTTTGGTATTCCACGTCATCACTATAAATAGGAACCTTGGGCCCCATAATACGTTTTCCGCTCTCCGTGCTCTGTCTGTTGCTGATCTCCCATACTTTCTCCAGTTGCGACTTCTCGTCTCAGATTCTTCCATTTTGTAGCCTAATCCCACACTTTGATCCAAGTAAGTGATCTACTTTCTTCATTTTTCCGTTTAGAATGCATGATTCCTGGAATTTGTAGATATTTTAGGACCGTGCGCGCGGGATTAGCTCGGTAAACTCGTGTTTTTCCCGACATATTCATGTCTAGGACCGGCAAACGCATATTGGTGGCCGGCACATTCATAGTTTTAGGTGAAAAACTTCAGAGCTGCCCGGGGTCTTCATGATCCGGGCGCCTGATTCATGACTGTGCCCGGTATGTTCATGGTCGTGGCCGTGGGCCTCATAGTGGGGCTCGCCATGTTTATACCTCGGGTCGACATGCTTGAAGAGTGGCCGCGCAGTTGGTTTGAGGAAGAACACCGGGTTCAGGAGAGTCGGGGAGGCGTCCATTTGTGGAAACGGACTTGTGTAGTCGTGTATGGGACGACATGATTTTGTCGAGCATAGGACTTCGTGCTCCACTGATTGGTTTCCCGTGCTCTGCAGGTAACCATGGCGGACGAGCCGAGCTCCTCCGGACGTCGTGATCGTGAAGAACAGAGTGCCGACGAGTCGGCCACCCTGATTGATACCGTGACCGACCCATTGCTGGAATGGGTGGGTGTCGAGCCGCGTGGGACAGCGTCGGTATATAGTCGGGATGACCGACATCCATTCACTATCATTGAAGAGGGTCAGGACGAGCCTGGCTTCCAACAAAACTTCGTAGTCATGATTCCGTCGACCGGCGCAAGGATTTGCTCGGTCTATCTGAATCGCGATGTATGAGATCGCGTTTAAAGACCTAGGGCTGCGGCTGCCGTTCACTGATTTTCAGGCCGGGGTCTTTATGCACTTGGAGTTGGCCCCGTCCCAGCTGCACCCAAACTCTCTCGCCTTCATCCGGGCGTTTGAGTTGACGTGTCGCTACCTGAGGATCGGGGCGACCATCCCTCTTTTCTTCCGGGTATTTCACCTGCAGCGTCAGTCCCGAGGAGGGAGGCATAGCTGGGTGTCCCTGAAGCAGTCGAGGAGACTGTTTAAGATGTATATGGACTCCGTGAGGGGGTTTAAAGACAAGTGGTACGTGGTACGCCCAATTACCGACTCTGCTTTAGATTCCCTTTTCGAGGAGGAGGGGCCAGTCAGTGATGATGACGGGGAAACGATGGTGGCCGACGACGGGAGCCCCGTGTTGGGTCGTAGGGCTAAGTTCCCGGTGTACTGGATGTCCCGACATTACGAGCATGGGACAGGTTATTACCATACCGCTGTCGGGGACATGTGCTCGGAGGATCAGCGGGCGTACGACGCTCTTTGCCGGTTTGTCGACAGTTTTCATCCCGCCCGATGGGTTACGCGGGAAGGGGATGATATCCTGGACAAAGACGGTTACCCGACGTTCGAGTCTCGCCCGATCGACACCAAGGCGCTGGTGGAGTGTCCGACATACAGGCAGGCTGCCTGCCTGTTAGGTTGTTTGCTTGAAATTTTATTCGTCATTTACTCATGCAGTTTGCTCGATACTGACTTTTCCTTTATTTCGTACAGGTACGATGGCTAACCGACATGAAAGGCTCCTGAAATTATCAACCGACCAGAGGCGAGGCAGGAGGGTCGTGAAGCCCCCGCAGACGACGAGGATGGGTCCCCCATCCGGTCCAAATGTTCCTCAGCAAGTGAGGGTGGACTCGCCGTCGAGCTCCGGACCCACGTCGGATCCAGAGGTCGAGGAGATCGACCCCAGCGCCGTTTTGACGCAGAGGAAGAGGACCCGTGTAGAGGGTGGTTCGACTGTCGGCGAGGACGTCGGCGCTGTTAAATCTTTCGCCTTCCCTCCTTGTTTCGAAGAGGTGGGCTTTTTCGAGCGATTCCCCCCGACAGTGGTTGCCCATGAAGCTGAGGCCATAAAGAAGATGAGTAAAGAGGAAAGGAAGGCGTATCTGGCCGCCAGCGTGGACGGGCTGGTAAAAATGGCCGAAATGGCTTTGGTGTTATCTGAGGATGCAGGGGATGCTGCCCGTGTCGAAGAGCTCGAGCAGGAGAAGGCGGCGCTGACCGCGAGCTTGCGGAAATTGAAGGTCGCTCTGGAACGCTCCGAGGGGATGTTCCGAGAGCAGACCGCGATGCTCGATGCTGAGAGGGAGATGTTGACCCTAGAGAAGGAGAAATCGGGAAAGTTGACTGAGGAAGGGGAGCTTCTTCGGGCGGACAGGGATCGCCTGGCGGCCGAAGTCGAGCGTTTGGGTAAACAGGTCGAGGAAATGCATGCTACCCTGCAACCTGCTGAAGATGAGCCCGAGGACATAGCAGCTTTGAAGAGTCGGGCGGAGCTGGTCGCCCATATCCGGCTCCTCGAGGTGGACTGCGTCGGTGCTCTGGAGGACGGGTTCAACTCTGCAGTCGATCAGCTCTCATTGCTAAATCCTGGCCTGGTCACTGAGGGTATCGGTCACACACACCGGGTTGTAGGTGGCGCGATCGTTCCTCCGCCGGACTCTCCCAGCGTCGACAATGATGATTCCGTGGAAGTCTGAGTAGGATAGCGGGCCTGCGTGCTCTTGATATTTGTATTCCTTGGGCCTGCGTGCCCGTTTATTGTATGTTATGAACATCGCCGGCCTTCTTGGTCGGTTTACTATTGTTTTGTCGCCTTCGGGCATTTTTATCAATGTTGTTTACATTTTGGATTTTTTGCCCTTGTTTGAATT